TCTTTTCTCTTCTTATTTAAAAAAAAGAAAATGATCTAATTTATGTCTATTCCGTTACATCCATTACAACCTATAAAAATTCACTGCTGAACATACGCCTCACCCATTATTATAGTGCTGTTGTGTTTCGTACAGTGAGCGTAGAAAACAGGAGACGCTACTTCCTGAATACGAGGCATTCCATATTAAGCCTTGAAGGGTAACAACGCATCATTATTTCAAATGGAGGATATTCAATTATTTATGGAGGATAAATGTAGATGTCTATAGGCTACAGCATCCACTTACCATCAGATGAACTGGGTGCTCGTATATAAATTAACAAATCAGCCGTTTGATGGTGGCATAAGAGCTTCCGTCATCCCCATTTCGTTCTGCAAGTATTATAAGGGATGACTGTGCAAAATACCATAAAAACTATATGGCTATAAATGGCTTCTAATAGGTAGTGACATAGCCTCGTTTACTTCACACATTTACTTAACAGACACACTCAAGAGACTCGACAGACGCAGCGTATAGAACCAGCGTCAATACCAGACGTCTGGCAAATTTATCATCATCGACTGCCAAGCGCGAAGACTAATCCTCCCTGCAACGAGAGAGGATAATGTCTTAATGTGCACTTTTATGGCATGATAATGTAGAATTTTAGCCCGTAAAAAGTGTTTTATTAAAATCATTTGCAAAGTGATTAAGGAAATTGTGAAAAGAGACGCTGAAACTTCCGTCGCTTTTGAGCCTCTACATGTTAAAATAATACAAAACGCCCTGTATTCAGTGACATCTAATATCTGTAATCTTTTTTTATATATAATAAGGATGACAAGCGAATACACCGTCATGATGGTCAGTAGATTTTGTGTCACATAGACATTTATATTTATCCTCGACTGAGAATCAAAATGCAGATGCGTTGTCAACCCTGAGGACTAAGATGGAATGCCTTGTTTCCACCAAAAAGGCTAACCTTCATTATTACTAAAACCATTAAATGACTTTATACCAAGCCCATATTCTAGGTTATTTTAAAATAATATAATTTTGATTTAAAGCCCACTTTCAAATGATTTTACTGTGAATCTTCTAATGTTAACTGCAAATATATTAAGCGATTTTAAGAAAATTTAAAACTAAATCAAGTGTTTTACTTTAACTATTTTTACCTTTTAGTCATTCCTACTGACATATTTTAACGAAAAACTTCTTTACAAATGAATATATTAACTCAAACTATTCTGTCCTAGAAAATCTATTTATTATTTCGTGAATGGGAAACTTTTCTTTTTGTATTTTTGGGGGCTTTTTTTTCAAATATTTTGTTTTATTTATCACTGCCAATGTCAAACACATTTGTTGTTTCAATAAAAAAAATCATACAGCCAATATGTCACAGTAAGTACAAGCTTATTATAGTTTGGCCAATATCAAATTTAAACAACTTCCAGCTGTGTAGAACAATAAAAGTAAAGTGTTTAAATCTTATAATGGGTAATTTGCCCGCTGCTACGTACTCTATTCACTCCAAATCTCCCTTTTCACGTCAGCGTTATTGACTTTGTCGGGCCATTTTTATAACTGACCGTAAAGGTCGAGGTGGCAAAATAACAAAATGTTATTTATTTTTTTGCTTCAAAAGCCTTGCATTCAAAAGTTACAATCGATCTATCAACTGATATTTTTGTATTATGTTTGAGACGTTTTACACATGTACCGAAGAGGATAAAATCTTAAATTATATTGTGACGATGGTAAAAATTTTGTCGGTGTAAATAATGAAATTACAATTTTTTTAAATAATGAGTAGTGAAAGCATCTGGTTTTCATTCTGATTCAGGAATAAAATTTTAATTTTCACCTGCGTATTCTCGGCATCATAGAGGGTTTTGGGAGGCAGATGCCAAGTCTGCAAAGTACCACGCTACTAGAATATGAGCGACAAACATCATACGTTCGAGGTGGTGTCTACTTTATCTGTGCGAATTGAAGCAATCCTTAATTCTAGGCCACTACTCCTCAGAAGAGTTATATGCGCCAGTTGTTTGGGTTGAGGATATGGGGGACTCTCTGGGGAGGGGGGTGGGAGTATATAGGTAATTTTATTTACTCTCAGCGCTAATGACCTCCTTTGACACCACCGCAATTCTTTATCGACTGGCCACTTACATCACTACCATTAGAAAACGTCAAAAAACATTAATTTAAGTACACTAGATAGATAACCAATGCCTTGCAAATCTGGGTCCACATATCTGGGAACACTGGCGTAATGAATATTTGAGCGAATTGCAACAAAGATACAAATGGCTGGTTAATCAACAAGGATTTCGGGAAGGGGATTTCGCAATTATCAAAGAGGTCAATGTGCCACCTTTGAAATTGCGTATGACACGAATACATAAGTTACATCCCAGTTATGATGGAATTGTACGAGTTGCAGATGTCTACACGAAGAATTCCATTGTATGCCGTGATATCCACAACCACTGTCCCTTGTCTTGTTCAACCACAACAAAAGTTCCTCCAACCCCTGAAGACTATAACGGCTAGGGGCGAGGGAAGGATGTGTGATCTCCATACTTGAACGTGTCCAAGAGTGATGTCATCATAGTCACGGACTCGCCGTCAAAAAAATTGTAATTTCATTATTTACACCGACAATTAACATTGGGTGCGTTTGGCAGAAAAAAGCGCTAGCAAGCACTTACAAGCGCTAAAATAGTTTTCGGCCAGGACACGATTGCTACTTCAGTAGCGCTGACACAATCCGCCATTTTGCTTATTTAATTTGTTTGTTTTGAAGTAGAGTTTATAAGTTGTTTTGTGCAATATTAGTTTTAAGTAATATAATGACATGAATAAACATATACATGTTATTAAAAATTCATGATTGGTAAGTTTTTAATATGAATATTTTACAAACATTTACAAAATTAGGTTAGGTTCTCCGGTTAAAACTAACATCGTGTCCTAGAGGAAAATAGCTACTTACAATTTGACAGCACTTACCGCTTACGATCGCCATTTTGCTTACAAGCGCTTGCTAGCGCTTTTTTCTGCCAAACGCACCCATTATGACAATAATATAATCGAGGCGCTTTTACTCTTCGAGCTACACAATATCACGGAGTCTCATCGTGATCAATGAACAATCATATCAAACTTCATCAGACTTTTCTCCATGTTCAGAGTCCGTCTAGGTTGGTATTATTCCTCCTCTTACCACTCCCGACGGCAAGCAGCAGTGCCTATACTGTTGTGTTCCAGTCTAAAGTACGAGTATATATAAACCCATACAAACATCAGCCTGTGAAACATTCCATCTTTGTCCTCGGGGGAGAGAGCTGACCTGTAGCCTTCTTTGTTTGGGTCCATGGGCTGCTGTGGCTTCCTGAAATTAGATGGACTGTAGGTAAACCATGCAGCCCATACTAAATTCACTTACAATTAACTATCCACGAGTATACATACACATATAAATAAAATTGAAGAGTCTGGGTGTAACATTGAAATAATTAGCTTCTATTAAACTCATATTAAAACATTCTTTAGGTCTATCTGTCCGGGCTTATCTTCGGAATAACTGAATCGATTGGTTTTTGAACGAATTTTTACAAACTAGAATTTTTTTTTAAATAAATTGTCTTTGATTATCTAAAATGTACATAACGCCTCATTAATAGATTATATCCGGGTGAAGCCGGGGTGGGTTGCGTTATGCTCCGTAACAAAGTTGTCAACAGAGTAGAACAAAAAGTTCCCAGGTCATTGACCCCTTGGCTACAGTTCCAGTTCGTAATTAGGGTTCGAGGGGAAATATAAGAGAAAAGTGTTTGCAAAAAGATTTCTCATCTACTTCTCGTCATTAGACTTGATTCCTTTTCTAGTACCTATCAGCGAAAAATACCGTGCCCAAAATAAATGACATAAACGTTTTATTATCTACGTGCCCCGGATGCGTAACGCAGAATGTTTTTCTTCATTTTTTAAATCGTTTCCCTATACATTAATTTCCTATATCATGGACACGTAAATTATATTTTGACAAATACCCAGACCCGAAACAATTCGTAAATGTTTTGAGAAAATCTTAAAAACTATTTTCAACGTGGTAGAGCTGCAGCTATATTGTGGTTGCGGCTCGAGTAAGTCGGCTTGACCGGGGGAGGACAAAGCTCTTACAGAATAAAATACCAACGAAAAATAGCAGCATACTGTTACTTTGTTTCGTGTTATGGGTGTAAAGAACCGGAGATCCCTTTCGCTGAAAACTTTGAGTATTACGCAAAGACTGAAAACGAGACACTCGAACTTAGTTCTCGGGGTCGACTACGATTTTGCATTATGGTTCATAATGGATAATAGTTTTTACGTTTGTACATTTATAGGTCACAGCATCCACTTTCCATCAGATGGGCTGTGTACTCGTTTAGCACCCTCACTTTTATAGAAAGAAATATAAATATTGAATATACACATACACCAAGTTTCGAAACAATTATGTATAGGCCAAACAAGTAAATTGATAGCTCAAGGGCTAAGCTTTTGGCTTACACAGTATGAATAACCCGAATTCGATCCTCTATAGCACTACTGAAATTGCTAATTGCTATTTTAATAATTTTGTAATAAAACGCTCGCTAAATATATTAGATCGCGAGTAACCCAAGTTCGATCCCCGCCGGCACCAATAAAATTGCTAATTGCAATTTTAAGTGCAGATTTACCACGTGCTCGGCGGTGAAGGAAAACATCGTAAGGAAACCTGCATGTCTGAGAAATAAGGTAAAAAATATTTCGAAAATATGTGAAGTTCGCCAACACGCAATGGAGCAGCGCGGCGGACACTTCCTTGCCCTAAAACCCTCTCAGAAATGAGGGAGGTGTGCCCAGCAGTGGGACGTATATAGGCTGTAACTTTACTTTACTTTTTTTATGTATAGATTAATTTTGTTTATTAAAATCAGCTATATTTGATCTTTAACGTTGCTATTCCACAGAAAGGCTACGTGATCTCTTACTTAGAGGTGTCAGCGATAACGGACGCATCGGGAGAGGTCAGCTTCGAGGTGATTCGAGGCCAGACTGGTTCACGGAACATAGTCTTCCAGCTGGTGTCCAACCACAGCGACTTCCTCGCGTACTCCTACATGGCGTACGGCATCAGTGAAGAGGAGTACAAAAAGGTGACGTCTGTGTCGCTGGCGAGCGGCTAGGTCTGTTATAATATCGAACCTAGGACAACGTGTGGTGACGGTTTTACAAATACGTTCAATACAATCGCAGTATCGTAGCAATTACAATTAAAACTTCTTACAAAAGTATTGTATTTTTGAAGCTGGTAGCTGGAATTTTTAACCAATATTTAAATACACACCTAATAATAAAACCATTTCATGAAAAGTATGCTTATTTCAATAGTATATTTATAAAATACCAAAAATGAGTAACATTTATCAAAGTAATAAAAGCAGTAAAACATAATATTATATTATATAAGTGGTTATTATATCTACTCAGTAAATTTGCGTTTACTAATATTAGTATTATTATTAGTAATAATTCGTTTACATATTATTATCATTAAATTTGCTTCCATTGTAACACATGTAGATGGCGCTGCTAGATAGCACCGCGTAGGTACATCATTTATAAAATTTATTGATGTTAATATAATATTTTGTTTAATGCAGATATTAAATAATGTGATATGAATACAGAAATTCTAAAAAAAATATATTTAGGATAAACCAGTTTAGTTTACTTATTTCTTATTATAATTGGCTCATTAATTAAACATTTCTATTGCTTCATCTTAGTAAAATATAATAAAATAAACAAGTATTATATGTATGTAACTTAACACTCAACTATTTAGTTAAAGAACATTAACATTATGATATTTCACAACATTATTTAGTTATTATTAAATGTGTGTGTTATTCGTGACATCTATTGATTTTTTAAGTAACTTCAAAGCTTTCGCTATTTGGAAGTATTCAGTCAAGTGTTTACTATCTTTATAATTTGGAGTCATGAAACGAGATGTCGCTGGTATGTTAATCAGAATTAGTCTGTTTTCTTTAAATATTGGTTTAAATTTTGATCCTTAATCATGATTCAATACTGAAGGTAGTATTAAAACACAGTTTAGCATTAACATCTAGAAATAAAATGTGCTTTTTCTTTAAACAATTTGTTTTGTTTTTTTTTAAGTTTGGTTCTCCGTAAATAGGTGTCACTACTTGTTATAATACAAAAAGAAAGTACTCGTATTAAGCATTTTCCACAATACTATTATGTATTCTGAGACAATTTTAAACGCCATGTAATGCATCAATCATTCAAGGAATGCATAGAATGCATACCTACATGCAGGGCAGGCGCTTAGAATCTAAAGCGAACGTTGAGTTGCAGCGTAGTGTTTACTCACCAGTGTGTAAATTTGAGACCGTCTAAAGTACCAGTAATTCGACGTTTTTTAGATGGATTTCCTACGACCAGTTGGTCACCAGAACGGACTGGTTCTAAGAAAGTTGTTGTTTGCTCTTTTAGAAATACTTATACATTAGTTTATGAATGTAGACAAAAATTGTTCGTTCTTTTTACAAAAATGAACAGCCACTATATTATCATAATATAGGTACGTAGCTGATAGACTAGTTATTTAATTTTCTAAAGGTTATGGCAGTCGAGATGGGTTCATTGCTCGCCGTATATATCTCACTACCCTAGTAGCGCACGGGTTCGATCTCCGGCACCACTCCATTACGAAAGACGAAGCAAACCGTTTAAACCGACTTGGTAAGAATTTGAGGAATTCGATGGATGCAGATGGCTGAGGACCGTGCTTTGTGGCATTCCTTGAAAGGGGACTATGTTCAGCAGTGGACTTATAAAGGACTGTAAGGACGATAATGAAGGTCTTTCTGGTTTATCCCACAGTCACCTATTAGGGCATCCAAGGGACAAAATGTGGTTATCCCTAGAACGAAAAATATTTCTAAATTATTACTATTACTAATCACGGTGTTGTTAGTAATCATTACTAGGTGTTAGAAGTCCTTTTCTGCCAAGAAGTGTAGTGGATACCACCTTCTGCTTCTATTCTCCTCAAATTCTGCCGCCAAAAAGTAGCGCGGTCTAAGAGTGAGCTATTATAATTACAGTCTGTGTGGCATTCCAGCTTAGTCCTCCAAGGTGTACATCACATCCGGAGCTCGCAATTGCTTTATTTGATATGGGTTGCTGGTGACCCAAAGCTGCAGTAGCCTCTGATCATTAGATGGACTGTAAGCTCGTTAATAATATTATTTTAATTGTACTATTGTTCCAGGTCGCGAATGTCATATCTCTACCAGTGACGAATAAAGGCAATGTACCAGGCTACAGTATAAGCATCATTTTATTTAGTCTTTCCTTTTTGTTAAATTTTAATAAATTATAATATGTGTTAATACAAATTATGTTTACCGCACTTAAGGCTTTATTATTCTTATCGATAAGTGACTGATTTTTCAATCGTCAGATAAATGTTATCTTCGAATAAATTATAACCTGCCTAAATTACTCAGGCTAACTAGCAGACTACTGACTCAATAGAACTGTTCATAAAACTGTAATTTTCTTATGTTATATTTTATCCCATAAATAAATTTTATATGAGACTATAAAAATCGGCTCTAACTAACATAAAATGCATCTCAATGGACGTATCTATATACAAGTCTATATTCTATAATAAAGTCTATAATCTATATAAAAGTAAAGTCTATACTTTACATTTAAATAAAACTAGTTTTTACGGATATTATCGCGTTATAGGCTTGGGATCCTATAATTAATAAAATTAATCCCAACCCAAGCATACAACTGCAAGACTTCTAGATACTATAAGTTCATACTGCGTAACTCGCAACAAAAATTAATAAATTTGGTCTGGAGGTAGCCGTGGTTAACTAAAACATTGGGACGTTTATACGTGGTAGAGTTATGCTGCAGTTATATTATAGTAGTATAGTTGTAGCACGAATGGGTCGGCTCAACCGGGGAAGGACCACGCTCTCACAGAATTCCAACGTGAAATAGTAGCTTAATGCCGCTTTGTTTCGTATGGGGAGTGTAGAGAACTGGAGACCCTTTTTACTGGAAACGAGGCATTCCATCTTAGTACTCACAGGTGCAAACGCATCTGCATATTGATTTGTAATCGAAGATAGACGTAGATGTCTATGAACCGCAGCAACCACTTACCATCAGGTGGACATAGTTCTCTTTGTCACTCTATATTATAAAAAATAAACGACGAACACCTCATTCCTCCCCGTGACCATGGGTGCTGTAAAGTGCCGGAAATGTCGGTAATATAAAATAAGTTAAAATACGCCATAACATACGTAAAAACTGGTTTTATTTAAATGTGTAGTGTATGCATAATATAAAAAATCATTATCTATACTTTTATTCGTTATTGTTTGTACATCCTCGCTGAAGCTGTATTATGGCTGCAGCATGAACAGATCACACAGGGGAAGGATCACGCTTAAACAGTATAACCATCTTAAAATAGCACCATAATGCTGCTATTGTGTTTCGTATGGCGAGATCAGACAAAGGAAGAATGACGGAGCTCTGCGTACATTTCAAGCGATGCCTAAACCATGCTTAACTTCTTGACGTTCACACACACATCTTTTTTCTTTCTTTCTTTAACTGCCCGTGAAAGTCTACTACTGGCCGCTCACATATGCACCTAAACCATGTTGTTGGTTACATATGATTTGTGTCTGAGTCTGAGAGATTGTAAGTTCTATTAAACGTGGTAGATCCATGCTGCAGTTATATTGTGTATAGTTGGCGGCCCGGGGAAGGACCACGCTTTCACAGAATACAGGTGTCAAATAGTATCTTAATGCTGCTGTGTGTGAGTGTAGAGAACCGGAGACCTTTTTTACTGGAAACGAGGCATTCCATCTTAGTTCTCACGGGTGACAACGCATCTGCATTTTGATTCGTAATCAAAGATAGATGTGGATGTCTATTGGCGACAGCAACCACCTACCATCAGTTGGACTGTGTGCTCGTTTGTCACCCTATCCTATATAAAAAAATATTAAAAAAAAAGTACAATGAACCGAACCTTTTAAACTGGAATAGGCATTGCAACTTAGTCTGGTTAGTCAGGGATGACAATGTCATTTAGGGTTTTATTAACTGTTTGCGAGCTAGCGGGTTAAAAAATACTCACAGAATTCGAGCGTCAAATGACAGCTTAATGGTGCTGCATTTTACTCGTGTATGGTGAGTGTACAAACAAGGTAGAGATCCGGAGACCTTTTTTATTGGAAATAAGGCATTCCATCTTTACCCTCAGGGATGATACGCATCTGCATTTTGATTCTTAATAGAGGATAGATGTAGATGTCGATGGTAGGATCGATGTTGTTTGTCGTATTACTCTTAAAAAAGACCCTTTTTGTTTCCTTATCAATAATTTTATTAAAATACACCAAATACTTGTTTTTCGAATAATTTACGTGAATAAATGCGTATATAATTTATCAATAGCTATCGATATACAGCTCAAGAAATAGTAGGATAAAACAGTAGTCTATAAATAGCGTTCAAATCGTTGTACAGAAAACTAGTGCAGGGCCATTTTTCAAAGCACTTATCGACGCTGACCAATCACCGTCATCGTTGCGCAGTAGACCCGGAGAGATCATCCAGCCAAGCAGATTGTCGAGCAAATTGTGGTAGTGTCGTTGCAAGATCTAAAAATTTAAACAATTTATAATACTTCTATTAAACGATTTATATTTTATCTAATACGCTATCCGAGTTAACAATAAATTTGTAAGTTGCAATTTGAAGTACTGTTTTGTCAAGTGCTCGACGTTTAAGAAAGAATTGTGAGGAAGTACCAGCGATACTTTTGAGTACTTCTGCTTCTGAGAACCAGAATACTTCTGAATTCTCAGGGGTGACAATGCATCTACATGTTGAATCTTAGTCGAAGATAGATGTAGTTGTCTACGAGTTTTTAACATTAAATTTGACTTATCACAACAATTTTAACAACGAGCTATGAAGAGGGCTCGGAGTTTCCTGCGTTATATATTTCATAATCAGGATATTCGTAGTAGAACCAAGTAAGCTAAAGTGGCATTGGGAGGGCTTTGATGAACCGACAACTGATGGAAAAGAAAGACTCTTCAGTGGTAGTCTCATGCAAGTAAAAGAAAAGTGTAGGACGGAGTGACGATGGCGACCTGATAAGATATGCAAGAAGTCGATTAATACAGGTAACTCAGGACGAGGATTCCTTGAGGAAGGCCTAAGTTTAGCAGTAAAGAGTCATAATGTATAATATCCTGACTAACAATGATACCAGCGTCAAAGATGTGATACATTTCGCACTACGATCGATAATTTTCCAGTCCAACATGACGATTAAATTAGGCGACTTTTACATGGCTACGGTAAGAAGCAATTAAGAGAAAAATCTCGAGGCCATCAATAAATGGCAGTATATCATCTTGTTTTCATAACACAAATATACTCAGACCAGCGATTGAAGTCAGTGTCAAAGGTGCGAGACAATGCTGCCTATATTTTTATTATGTGCTATGCAGGTCTAGGGAAAGAGACCAGCATCACTGCGACCTAAACGATCTATTGTGATCGCTACTAAATCCTATGTCTTCAATGAATAGAAGGAGTTGATTAGCTGTGAGCAATTTCACTTATTCTATGCGGAGTACATAGTTTCCCAGATGAGTGTTACGTTTGCGCATTAAGGGTCTGTAATCAATTAGAATGTGCAGAGGCGTTTTTTTCCGCTATGTAACAGAACCGACACATCCTTGAGTTGCTTAGTCCCAGGATGGACATATGCTGTTTCAGACAACAGTTAGGGTTCTTACCAGAATGTGCAATTTATTTTTGCTTAATCCCAGGGCTTCTGAAGCGAATTTACGATCAATTGCCCGGATTAAGGTTTTAGAATGTTTTAAGCCTGGCGAGTCAGACCAGACCTTAAGTGATTTATCGTAATAAAGAGTTTCAAGGGGCAATCGGGCTAGGCTTCTTGAGATTCCACAAAATGGTTTAGGTCCACATTGTGTACTCTTTGAGCCCTCCCGTGCGAGTCCGTCTGCAAATTGGTTGCCTACAATATTGTGCGACCAGGAACCCATCTTAAGACGACCCTGTTGTTATATCCCAGTGCGTTTAAGCGGTTTACGCAGTCTCCAACTAGCTTCTAGTTCACTAAATTTGACCTCAGAGCTAGTAGTGCTCCTTGACTATCACAGTTTATATAAATTATATGGTTGACGTAGTGTTTTTGCAGACTGATTTCCGTACACTGAAGTATGGCGAAAATTTCTGCCTGAAAGATAGAGATGAATCTATCCAAATTCATACTAAATTTGAACTTGGAGCGATCCCCATAAATTCTAAAGCCTACGTCGGTATACCATATAAGGCTACCGACCTTCACAGATAACCTGGCCTGACCTGGCCTTGCACCAGACAGTGGAGGCGTGGGTGAGGATCGGACACACTATGCTGCTGTACAGCCATAGGACATAGGACGCAAGCCCTAGTTGTTCTCAACCAAACGACTGCACATACCTTGTGCAACTTTTGCCTTATGGCATATGTTGCTAAGGTGAGAGTTTCACGTTAGTTTTTGGTCGATTGTTACGCTCAAGTACTTAACTTCAGTGGAAAATGGTGCCCATCAAACCACCCAAATATTGTGGCACATTATCCTTGTAACAAGTTTAAGTTTAAGTTTTCTAGGTGGTAAGGCTTCTTTCCTGTCCTGGAGTCCGTCTGGATAGGTACAAACGTCTTAGCTATTACTGCTGTCAGTAGTGCTTGTACTGCTGTGTTCCGGACTGAATGGAATAGAGCCTGTTTTTTTATAGGATAAGGGTGACAAACGAGCGCACGGTCCACCCGATGGTAAGTGGTTGCTGTGGCCCATAAATACCTACATCTATTCTCGATTACAAATCAAAATGCAGATGCGTTGTAACCAGAGAAAACAAGATGGAATGCCTCTTTTCCAGAAAAACGGGTCTACGAAACTCTACACTCACCATACGAAACAAAGCATCGTTTAGCTGCTATTTTACGCTGGTATTCTGTGAGAGCGTGGTCCTACCCCGGTCGAGCTGACCCATTTGTGCTACAACTATGCTACTAATATAGCTGTAACATGGCTCTACCACGTAAAAAATAAAGTATAATTAATGTTCTGCATCTCATACGAAGAAGTACTTGTAGTGTCGGATATTGAAATAAGTAAACACTTACTTGACTCCACAATGTTTATTATACCACACAATGTTTATATTATTTATTTTACAAATCTACTAACACAAGCCAGTCTTATATATCTTATATAGCAAGAGATTTGCACAGCACGAAAGTATATAGCAAGAAAGTCAATAGCATAGAAAGAAGAAATTCAGCGGAGACAGTACAACGTAATATATTTTAAAAGCACCAGCAAAACGAAACTAAATTTATATTACAGCTAGTATTGCAGTCCACCACATACTAATGCTCAGTGGTGATAACGCAGGGTGAATATGGGGTGTCAGACTGAAAATCGGGACGTCCCGCAGAAATCAGGACTCCTGGCAATATTAGTTTGCGCTATCGGTGTACCTAAACGCGAACACGAGCGGTGGCGGAAAAAAATAGTACGTCCTACCCTTATCAGAAGCCGGAGCATACTTATCGGACTTGCTCTGTGCGCGCGAATTTATGGTATTTTTAAAATAATCTTTGGAATACTTGACAAACAAAACCAGCAAAAATTTTTTTCAGATATTTTACATTACCATTATTTTGATAAACTAATTGAAAACTTATATGGTTTATAACTATACTTATATGGTTTATATTGAAATATACGAAAAAAATAAAATTGAAGTGAAAAGTTTTAGTGATTTTTTAATAATGTTTTAATATAAAATCGAAACATTTTAGTAATTTAGGCTCTGTGTTGCACTTCAAGATTATATGTTTCATTTGAATAGCGCTTAAAATAAAGCATTTTAGCTTATAGTAATGCTTATATTCGACCTGAAAGATAACTCTAACGAATATTTTCGTACAATTATATGGAGGCAATGTTTTCTTTCAAATAAACCGTCATTGAAATTTATGATTTTGCTCTGTAGTCCAATAAAAAAGACATCATCCTTCTAAAGCCGTAAATTTCTGCAAACAATCTGCTCACGTCGTTACTATATTCCCCCTTTGAAAAAAAACCCTAAACATTAAGTTTTCTGCGCGAATCGCATATCTTAAAAAATTGCTTAACTGAAAAATAATCTTTTTTTTAAAAATCAAATATATGACAAACGCAAAATATCGTACTTACCTATACCGTAAGTAGTACTCGAAATCTTAGAACATTGATCCCGCTTCACACACTTGTTCGTATTTTCGTCTCTGTAGTATCCTGATTTGCAGAAGCAACCCATTCTGCAAACTGGAATACAGGCATCAGGTTCAGGTTGGGAGCACGTTGGAGGGCAAGCACTGCCGCATATCTTAAACTCTTCGTTTTCGCTGCATAATTGGTAGGTCTCCACTTAAATTTAAAAAAAACAAATGTTTGTATAAATTGTATCCAAGCTCCCAAACAATCAAACTTAAAAAAAATAAAAAGAATCTACTCTATTAAAATCATTTTTCAACTTTCAATTTCACAAATCACAATGATTTGTGCATCAAACTATGGCGAGGGCTATGCTCGCAGTTTTTCTTTTTTTTTGTAGAAGAGGGTACAAACAAGCATGCGGCTCACCTGATGGTAAGTGACCACCGCCGCCCATGAACAACCGCAACAACAGGGGAATTGCAGATGCGTTGCTGGCATTTTAGAAAGGAGTAAGCTCTTTTCTTAAAGGTCCCTAAGTCGTATTAGTCCGGAAAAGTCGCCGGCGGTAAACAATTCCACAGAGAAGTTGTACGAGGAAGAAATCTCCTAGTAAAACGTACAGTAGTGGACCGCCAAGCTTCTAGATGGTGAGGATTGTATCGGGAATTTTGACGCAATGTGCGTCAGCAAATTTTGGCGGCTGGAACTAACCCGAACAATTCCTCAGAACATTCCTCGTGGTAGATACGATGGAAAACGCAAAGGGTTGCAACATCCCTACGAAGCGCTAGTGAATCGAGCCGATCAGAAAGAACTCGGTCGTCGACGATTCGAATCGCTTTGCACTGGATGCGGTCAAGTAGAAGGAACTGACACTAGGGTGCCCCGGCCCAGAGATGAGAACAATATTCCATGTGAGGCCGAACTTGCACTTTATAAAGTTGCAAGCGATGTACCGGCAAGAAATAATATCTCGCTCTGCTGAGCACGCCAAGCTTTTTAGAGGCCAATTTGGCCTTCCCCTCCAGTGACCACGAAACTGCACCCTATTCGATATGTCGACGCCGAGGATTCTGATGCTAGCTGAGGCAGCAAGTGGAGTGCCTTCAAACTGAGGAGATACGACAAAGGGGTTCTTTTTAGCGGTTAACGCGCAAACTTGTGTCTTCTGGGGATTGAATTGGACTAGATATAGTCGCCCCTAATCCGAGACTTTGTTAAGCAAAGACTCGACTTCAGACACAAGCTTGTCCTGGTACTCGGCGTCGATTTCCAGAAAAATATTGGCACGGCCGGTGTATAAGGCATCACCAGTGCTGCTGTGCAACATATCATTGATATGCAGAAGAAACAGCGGTGATGATAGCATTAGCATTTTGTTCGTGATAAATTTCATAAGAGGACATCCGCAGTACAACTAAATAAGCTGAAATGGCATTGCAACCGATGGGAGAAGAAAGGTTCTCGAGCGGCAGCCCCGTGCAGCTAAGCAAAGTGTAGGACACACATCAAGTAGACGTACTACGACTTAGTTAGCGACGCCGACAACCTGATAACTATACATCGAATTATATGCACTAACAAAGTGCCAAAATATGCATGCAAATATGTACTAAAATAGTCCGAAATATGCGCTCGAAAGTGTTGATATGCCAAAAATATGCACAATGTGAAATCAAAAAACCATTTTTATTTTTATATATTTTAATTAACGACGGTACAAAAACAGCGAAACGTTCTTAAATTTTGCATAGTTTTTATGAAAATTTTTAAGTATTTTTCCAAATTTTCAAGGGCAAGTTTGTGTTATTTGTCACTCAGTATCAATGTGTACGCTGAAAACGACCTCTCTACATCAACTGACGACATTGGACAAAATTTAAAAATTGACGCCGTTTCTGGAGATATCTGTTTAGGCAGGGTACGACCTGTGCCGTAGATATAGGAATTAATGTTCGTTATTTCTTTAACACTCAGGTTTTTACGCAAAATAACATCCAACTTTGTGCGAATCTTTTCTAATACTGAATTAGAAAGGGCGTTGGCGAGTTTGATCATTATTTCCAGTATTTCTATTGATTTAAATAGAGGAAGGTTTTTGTTTTAAATTTTTATGGCATCTGGTACTTCTGGAAATGTGTTGAGATGTTATATATATATATATATATATATATATATATATATATATATGAGTTATATAAAAACTATATATTTTATATATTATTTTATATTATATTTAATGGATGCATCATCAAATGCCACCTTGCTTGCTTTAATTGCAATGGCCTCCGTACTGTCAGCTTGAAAAACTATTTGTTTTACGACCTCAAAATTTGCAGCACCGCTCAGCTCAGAATAACACCACCTTTAGCTAAGTGACCCATTCATGCCCCAGTGTTATTATAAATTCTGGCAGCAATGTTAGATTTGGCAATTGTTCTTTGTAAGAGAGCACACGCGATGGTGCTTTTAAAAACACTTTTTTGTAGAGGAAATCAATTTATTAACATTTCCATACTCTTGCCTTACCTATTCTGCAAGGTGATGAAACCCGTGAGCTAAGCACTTAATATGCAGTAAATTGGGACAGTTCAGCTAGCCACTGCGCTCGCGCCCCATTCACCTTCTTCACCTAGGTCGTTATACGTACTTCCCGCCACCAAACGAACTATGCACGATTGAGAAAAAAGGCTAAAATATGCATTAACACCGTAATTACAGAGTTATATGCATTTGCACATGCAAATGTACAAATTTTTGCATATGCAATTATTTGCATATTGCATGTGAAAATGCATATAACTCTGTATTATTAGTTAATTTGTAGTTAAAATTTAACTGGTAGTTTGAATGGCGAGACTTGACCTTTCTAGTTTCACTATTAATTATACTCCATGTCATTTTGTACTTGTAATACTTGTAATACTCTTTATGCAAGTTTTGATTTAGAGAAGGTTTTAAAGATCTAACTTGGTGAGTCAATGCTTTTATATTACTAGCTGAAATTGTATAATTTTATTTATTATATAGTATATTATTAATTGTGTATAATTTGTGTTTTTATGAAAATGGGACGCGTGATTTTTTTTGCTAATGCTGGGATAAAAGTAGCGGCAAAAGAGGTGCGAAAAACTATTCTAGTGTTCTGCATAGATATGGTCTGTTGGATGGTCTTATGGACCAGTTGGTTGGCGAAAGAGGTAATATTAAAAACTTACTTCTGTATTGTAATTACTGCCACGGGATAAATCAGAATCGAGGGGTGTTGGCAATGATACACTTCACTTTACAGCAGTGCAATAATTTAGAAAACATAAAGATAAATTATATACTTAATGGTCAGTACCTGGATGACCGAGCTTTGCTCGTTTTTTTTTTTTGAAATTTCATTTAGATACAAATTACATACTGATGAAACATGAATAACATTTTTGATCTTATTGACATAATAGAAAAAACTGAACTGGTTATTTGAATAAAAAATCATGAGTGCATTTAGTTTAATTAAAATTTTCGTATTTTTAAAAAATACTAAAAAAAGGGCTCGAAATAATAGATCTTCAGAATGTCAAACCGAAGACAGGATGAGAACCAAGGGATTACGATTTCGCGACCGCTCGATATCCACTTGAGCTATTACAATCATTGATACAGTGTCAATATTTACCTTCTTATATTGTACCAGTTTTTCGTTGCCTGAAAACACAGACAAAAAGACATTTTCTAAAATAAATCCTAGCTAGATCGATTTATTGCCCCCGAAACTCCTTAAACACTAAATTTATGAAAATCGTTGCCGTTTCCGGGATTCCGATTATATATATATATACAAGAATTGCTCGTTTAAGGTTATATGATAAATATATGCCTGTCGACAGTGTTTATTTTGTTGAAGGTAATCTAAATAAGACAATTATTTATGCATCATCTCGAAATCCTTTCACCACAGCTCGAAAGGACCCCTTTACTTTTGAGTTGAAAAGTTTAATTAAGTGAAATTCTATTGCTAAACAGCACTGTAAGAGCTTCCTTACGGGGAAATAAGTAAAATAGAAATAGCAACATAAAAAATGGTCTTTAAAATGTTTCTGCCGAGTATTCCATAGACAAATCTGCTAAGCTGAGTGTGGTTAAAATCCAATCTGAGACTAGAGTACCTCTTATGTCGTTTGACAATTTACGTCTGCAAGGTTACCTTGTTATACCAATATTAACCTTGTCAAACTTTGCAAGGACAAAGTTATTCCTGCTCAGTTCAAAAAAGAATTCACCGAAATACCTTGCTGCATCCACAAAAGATGCTTTACCAGAACCAGACATCGAAGACGTGGAGCCTGATGCTTATTTGGAAATAGCTTGATTTCTTTTTATTATCTTTAACATTAATATTTTTAGTGCTACTTCTACTAGGACATTTTGATAATGTTTTTCATGTAATTTTCTAGCAAGTTAAAGTTAAGGACTTATAATATAGTACATACTATGTAGATTATAAGAAAACCTACTTTGTAATTTTTAAAATCGATGGATGGATCTTACTCTGTAATTATTAAAGGCGTAACTCTCGTAACATCTCGCTTGTTAATACTTCGTTATGAACTGAGTTCAAATAACATTTGATATTAAAATGTTTAAGTGTGATAATGAATTACAAATTATTAATATCGCTTATGTGTCATTATGTACATTATGTCGTGTTAAAATATTATTGTCTTACCTTGTATGGCAAATATACCTTATAAGTAGCAACTAAGAATATTTTTGAGTATATTTGTATGTACTTTATTTTATTACGTTCCTAGTTCCTATTTTGTATTTTAGTTCTATTTTGAATTCCTAAGTAATAGTTTTTTAATTACCGTTATTTTTTAAACATCTTTGTCAATTACATACACGTGTGATTAACCAGATATCTTTTTGCTGACGACCTTAAAATTACGAAAACAGTATCAACGGCTTCAGATGCGTAATATCTCCAGGAAGACAATAATAATCTTCACGAATGGTGTAACAGTAGTAAAATTTTAGGTACATGCTACGAAATGCTGTCAAATTAAGTATAGTAGATGGTCATTTGATGTTTTCGGATCATATTGATAAGATAGTGGGGGAAGCAAATAGGTCGCTAGGCTTCGTATTTAGAAAAACAAAGGCTTTTAAAAAACCAGCAACTGTCATTAAGCTTTACAACAGTATGGTGCCCCGCTTATAAAATTTACATAGACAGGATCGAAAAAGTTCAGAAGAAAGTAATTCACAATTTAACCTACCGTTTTGGTACTCCAAGAAATATCAAAACCTATAATGAAAAAATAAGCATTTTCAACTAGAACCCCTTTCCCTGCGCCGAAATCACTTAGAAATGTCTACATAAGATTGTAAATAATTACATTGACTGTGTCCCGTTATTGTCCAAATTCCAATTTAACGTACCATGCAGATTACCAATATATTCCTGTGGACTTTTTAAGATTAAATTTAGTAGAACTAACTTGGGTTCGCGACTCCCCAGTGATCCGTATATCTCGCCTGTACAACAAGCTCACCAAAAATATCCCCGACCTTGACGTTCACCATGATACCTTCGCTCAATTTATTGCCAAACTTAAGCATGTTGACATACGTTAAGCTCCGGTTGCATAATTAACTTTCTTTTTTCCTTTTTTTATTTTTTATTAAAAATATTTTCTTAAATTTGCTTAACATTTGTAACACAACGCATGATGTGATTGCCTATTATAAGAGCTGTTAATGATGTAAAATTTATAACGCTGTAATGTAACCAAACATTCATTTCCGTTTCTTATTTTGAAAATCCAAATAAATAAAAAATAAAATAAATAACAACAATATTGTAAAACTGTTCGAAAAGGCTGATTTGAAACTTAAACACTTGATGTAAATCGGTTGACTTAAATTTGGTTTAATTAAGAAATGGATAGGTAGGTAACCAAAAACCTATTCCAATTTTGCACATTTTTTGTAACAGTAGTTTTTAAAAACTTGATAGCAGTTTTCTTCTTCGTTAATATTGTTTTACCCACCTGTACTGATTTTGAAATTACTAAAAAATAACTAAAAATGCCTCATTTATTTAGTTTATTTTTACAAACAGTTCATTCAACCACAGCCAACATTTTTTATAAGATCAAGTAAACACTTTGCAGGAGATTTGACTGGAACATTTATATCTTATAGGTCTATATAGACGTCGAATGGGTTAGTCACTGGCCTAAAACCTCAACCATACCGCACTAAAGCAGCGTGGTGAAGTATGCTCTAATTCGTTCCTCATCGGACGGAGGCCCATACTCAGTAGTGGGTGATTACAACAAGGGCTGTAATGATGATGATGATGATGATGATATCCGCCGAAAACCTTTTCCGAAAGTCTCGGATTTTGTGTACTAAAACCTTAATTCAAACAAAAACACTAACCTTTTTAAATTTGTGCCATGATTAACATTGGCTAGCAGATAAGATTTTTGGTTTCTATTTAGATCATTTTACCTGTGTGAACCATGTGTTACCTGTTTTTAGATGGCCGTTATACATAAAATACAAGAAAATACAAAAAACAGATCGTTAGCAATTCGTCGCAAATATATGGTATCGCCTCTTCCTGAAGGTATTTTTCTTCAAAATCCTATAAACAACAACGGTTGCCACTTGCCACTCTACCCACAATACGACGCTTTGATAGAATAAAACCTCTCTACCCTCGATCGAACTAGTATTTTATAGACCGACACACACACTAACACACACATATATTTGTGTGTATATATATACAAGTATAAGTATCTAATATAAGTACTTACTCGCAATCTCAGAACATTGATCCTGCTTCACACACTCGTTCGTACTTTCATCTCTGTAGTATCCTGATTTGCAGAAGCAGCCCATTCTGCAAACTGAAATGCAGGCGTCAGGTTCAGGTTGGGAGCACGTTGGAGGGCAAGCACTGCCGCATACCTTAAACTCTTCGTTTTCGCTGCATAATTGATAGGTCTCCACTAAAATTTAAAAAAAACCAAATGTTTGTATAAATTGTATCCAAACTTCCAAACAATTAAACTTTAAAAAATAAAAATAATCTACTTTAGTAAAATCATTTTTTAACTTTCAATTTCACAAACCACAAGGATTTGTGCATCGAGCTATGGAAAGGATTATGCTCGGAGTTTCTCTGCGTGATATAATTCATATGAGGATATTCAGAGTAGAAACAAGTAATCTGAAGTGGCATTTCAACCAATGGGGAAGAAAGCTTCTTGAGTAGCAGGCTCTTACAGCTCAGCATAGTGTAGGATGCCCTTCTACTAGATGGAGCGACAATGACAACCTGGTAAAATATGCAGAGATTCGATGTATGCAGGTGACTCAAGACCGTGTGCCGTGGCATTTATTGATTGAGAAACCTAAGTTTAGCAGAGGAGAGTCTCGTATATCGACGGGGGCCAGCGTCAAAGGTGCCATAGATCTGTTTCTACGGTCGACTTGATTGACGTGGCAAAAACCCAGAAAGATCTCGTGGTCGTCAAAAAATGACAGCATACATTCTCGTTTTAATATTGTGGCGGCGATGTCGTCGCGCCACAAGCGAAACACACCGAAGCCTAAATCGCACTATCAAAATTCCGAATCATGAACAGTATATATAGAACATCTCCGAACTATCACACGGAGTGTCGGCCGCTCCCCGGGCAGAACACCTTGCCCGGCGGAAGATCTCCCCTTTTCCTTCCGTCCGACGTGATCTGAACACGCAACCAACAACCTTCGGAAATTTCAAGCTTCATCATCGTCATAGAATACCCAGATATCGTCTGCAGTCTTCATATCCTTCAAGCCATCTAGCTTCACAAGGTTCAGCACTGGAATAATAATACTTCCTGTTCCTTCAAGCTACTCTCTGCGCTATACAGTGTTCGGCACGGCTCTGAGCCTTACTGCTCGCCTCTGCTTCACGGCACTCTCGCAGATTACTTGCCTTCTTCTCGACTCACCGCAGACTACAAGGCAATCCACTGGCACTCGCACATTTGTCGGTAACGAGGCTGCACTATCGACCTCCGGTCTGAGCAGGGGGGTGATGTGGCGGCGCTGTCGTCGCGCCACAATATCACAGATATGCTAAGACAGCGACTGGAGTGAGTGCCTGTTGGGAACCGGTTGCATATACGCGCGGGTGGAGACGCGCGGGAGGACGACACGTCGACATCAGCGTCGGGCGGCAGCGACGCGGCGGCCACTCGCTTTACGATACTCCACAGCGGTCGGACGACAACATTGGTCCTTTAGGATTCTCACCGTCTTACATAATACGGTCTTCGCCACGTCTCCGAGCTCTTAAGTGTGGTCTTCAGCTGCGAAATTATACTTCTGCACGGGCCTTCGTGAACCATCACATCCTGCGGAAGATCCTTCAAAGCAACTCGCATGCTCGTGAGCCGGGAACCATCTTGAATTCGACTGTGCCACGGACTTTGGACCCATCGAAAGTTCGAGTCATCGTCTCAACACAGGAAATCATCAACATAATCGACGATTACCACCTTGGTGAAAGATTTAGTCATTGGTGAGCCCGTTCCAATTATTCCTGTGATCTTCTCCTTCTTTTTCATATATTTAAATTTAAAATAGCCTTTATTTTTAGTGAGTGCTTTTGGTCATATATGCTTGAACACTATCTAATATCTTCCATAATAACACGTATTTACTTCTAAAATCAAAGTATTGCATTAGCCCAGCAACAGCATTGCGCTCGAATAACGGGATCTTGTTTACGCAAATCGCTCGCTTCTTATCTATATCTACCTGAGCCAGCCGGCCGGGTCGCCGCTTGCCCATCTGTTCCTTTCACGCCAAGGTCAAGTTCACGCTGCATTTTATAACTACTTTTGCGTTATAACCTTTGCTTCTCTTAAATATTTCATTACCGCTTTGTCATGGCCGATGAACAAATACAAAAATTAATTAAATTACGTAGTTCTATTAAATCTAAGGTTACTATATTTAATAAATACGTAAAAGTATTGCAATCAGGCGGCCCCCCTAGCGATTTACAACTGCTAGACTTAGAAGGTCGTTTTAAAAAATTTGATGCCTTATACGCGCAATATGATGAATTACAGAGCCAGATCGAGGTGCTTTCAGACGACAGTGATGCTCAAGAGCTAGAGCGCGAGGAGTTCGAGGGCCAGTACCACTCGCTGGCGGCGGCGGCGCGCAGCGTGATCGGCGCGCGGCCGCGCGGCAATTTGAGCAGCCGCTGAATCATTCCTTATCGAGCTACGAGGATGCAAGCTTACAGCAAACAGGTGCCTTTAAATCCAATTGCGTCAGATTGCCCAAAATTGATTTACCAGTCTTCAACGGTCACTATCAACACTGGCTTGAGTTTAGGGACACTTTCATATCTTTAATACATTCGAGACAAGGTATTGATAACATTAATAAACTGCATTATCTTCGTGCATCTCTTAGAAGTAGCGCTTTGCTTGTTATCGATAACTTAGATTTCAAAGCCGAAAACTATAATTCTGCGTGGAATTTATTGTGTAGCAGGTACGACAACAAACGCTTACTGGTTAATAACCACGTAAGGGAACTATTTAATGTGGAGCATATACGCAATGAATCCTGCAAGGGTATTCGACGCCTTATTGACGTTACGAATAAAAATCTTCGCGCCTTGACCACCCTAGACCAGCCGACACAGCATTGGGATACACTCATAATTCACATGATGGCTGAAAAACTTGATAGTGTCACTCATAGAGAATGGGAAGAATATAGAAATACTCTTAATAATCCTCCTTCGTTAGAAACATTTACGACTTTTCTCGGCAATAGGGCAGACCTTTTGGAGACTTTGCAAGAAAGTAAAAATAAACCATAAAAATATGAAACTTACAAAACTAATACAAATTTACTTATAGCTACAAACACTCAAAAGGAAAAACAAAACTTCAATAAAAAAACAACTTATTTAATAAAAAAAATATTTACATGCCCATTGTGTAATCAAAACCACTTTCTATTCACCTGTGAAACATTCAGAGCCCTTCCTATTGAAATTCGTATACAAAAGGCTAAAGAGTCAAACGTCTGTCTTAATTGTTTAGGACCTGGGCACAAATAATTGCAATTTATCTTCATGTAAATATTGCAAGAAAAGGCATAATACGCTATTGCACTTGCATGAGCCACAGCCGATCCCTGAGCCTGCTATGCCATCAACCAGCAGCATTAACCACTTCGCAAATTCAAGCGAGTCAAAGCAGGTAGCTACTCCTCCGCTTATTTTGCTTTCCACAGCGCTGGTGAAGGTGCTGGACGGCACCGGCGCCGCGCACTCTGCCCGCATGTTGCTCGACAATGGCAGCACGGCTAACTTCGTTACTCAATCGCTCTGCGGTAAGCTGGGTTTGTTGCGACGTAGCGTGAGCTCCACGGTGACAGGTATAAACACTAATTCATCTCATATTACACAGTCTTGCAGCCTTAACATTAAGTCGCTTCATAATGACTATAGCCTTACTGTAGACTGCCTTATTTTGCCTGAGATCACTAAAGTTTTACCGTCTTCTTTCATAGACATACAAAATATTCCTCTTCCGATGGGAATAAGTTTAGCCGACCCTTCCTTTAACATACCGTCGGTTATAGACATCTTAGTGGGTGCCGAAGTATTTTGGTCCGTCTTATGTAATAATTCCATTGACTTGGGCAAAAATCAGCCTAAGTCGTATGAGACAAAACTGGGTTGGCTGGTGTCCGGGCATGTCGCCCGTCTTAAGGCACCGTCTTCGTCTCCCGTTTGTCACTTTATAAGCGAGGACTCCAATCCAGACTTAACTCGTTTTTGGGAGTTAGACACTGTGGCAGCAAAACACTCTTTGTCTCCTGAGGAGCGTGCCTGCGAGCAGAGCTTTTTAATAAACACCGTACGCAGTGAGAACGGTAGCTTTGTCGTCTCCATGCCGCTAAAGGACGATCCGTCAGTCTTAGGAGAATCCTTTCAAATGGCCAAGTGCCGTTTCTTATCTTTAGAGCGCAAATTTCTTCGGGAGCCTGTTTTTAAGGATATGTACATGGAGTTCATGCACGAATATGAACGCCTAGGTCACATGACTGAAAACAAGGAGTCTTCATTTGGCGATTTACAAAAGGTCAATTATTTTTTACCTCACCACGGAGTCATCCGTGAGTCCAGCCTTACCACCAAGCTTCGCACAGTCTTCGATACTTCCGCCGTATCTAGTTCTGGATTGTCGCTTAACGACATTCAAATGGTAGGGCCGACTGTACAAGAAGACCTTTATTCTATTTTATTACGTTTTCGCCAGCATAAATACGTCATTACTGGAGATATAGAGAAAATGTACAGAGCGATTGAGCTTAATCCCGCCCAACGCTCACTTCAACAAATCATATTTAGGTATGACTCACCACACCCGTTAAAAACGTACACCTTAAACACGGTGACTTATGGTACGGCGTCTGCCCCATACCTAGCCACGAAGTGTTTGGTGAGCTTAGCATCTAGTGCTCTCGATAGCGACGTAAAGCAGTCTATTCAACGCGATTTTTACGTTGATGATTATTTAGGCGGGTCGTCGACTATTGACGACACTATCAAGCTGTGCAAAGGAGTTATTAATACACTTAAAACTGCAAATTTCAATTTACGTAAATTTCAATCAAACAACAAATTAATTTTCCATCACGTTTCATCTTCACTACAATCAGATAACGTCTTAGACATAGCAAACAGCGATAGTAATGTTTCTTCTAAAACTTTAGGTCTAAATTGGATTTGCGATTTAGACATTTTGTCATTTTCAATCAATATCGAACTTCGTGACAAAGTGACAAAACGTCACATACTTTCCGTTATAAGTCAGATCTTCGACCCATTGGGTCTCGTGGGCCCCTGTGTCATCGAAGCAAAGCTCATCATGCAGAGGCTATGGATCGAACGATGCTCATGGGACGATGAGGTTTCAACGGAAATAAAACGTTCATGGTTTTCGTTCGCCGACACCTTACCTTTTCTTAACCACTTAAAGGTTCCTCGGTGGGTACTTCAAGACCAAGCAATATTCCATGAAATTCATGTGTTTTCGGACTTTTTCTGAGCGAGCATATGGGGCTTGCGTCTACATTCGCTCTATAGACGCATCAGGCTCTATCAAAGTACAACTTTTGACTTTTAAGAGCAAGGTAGCGCCAATAAAGCCAACAACTATTCCGCGCCTGGAACTTTGCGGATCGTTAGTGACTGCAAGACTGTATAACAAAGTATTAATCTCTTTAACACTACATATCAGCAATTGTAGATTCTGGTGTGACTCAACTATTGTTTTAGAGTGGTTAAAAACACCACCTACTAACCTTAAAAGTTTCGTAAGGAATCGTGTACATGAAATTCAGGAATGCACAGAGGGTCACACATGGAGCTACGTACCGTCGAAGGACAATCCGGCGGATCTTGTTTCCCGTGGGCTGAAGGCTGACCTCATCAGCGGTTCAGAATTTTGGTGGTCAGGGCCACCTTTCTTAACAGACATTGAAACTAATTGGCCACAAATGTCCAACGTCGGCGTGAAACAGAATCTACCAGAGTTGATTACTTGTTCCTTCGCGCTTAACAATTCTAATGCAGACTTAATATCTAACTTAATCAAAAACAAATCTAATTTAACAAACTTACAAAACACTATAGCATATATACAAATATATATATACAAAGATTTATTTACAACTGTAAGAACCCGAAAAAGCAAATGAAAGAACATTTTTCAGTTCAAGAGCTTCAAAATTCCTTAAATTTTATTATTCTTAAATCTCAATCTGAGATGTTTCCTGGCGAATATACTTTTCTTAAAGCCGGAAAGGCGCTTCCTAACAAAAATCGACTTATAGCTTTAAGCCCATTTCTCGATGCTAATAACATAATAAGGGTTGGTGGAAGACTCGATAACTCCCCTTACAGTTACGACACAATGCACCCAATTTTGTTATGCAGCAAACATCATTTCACTAAGCTTATGTTTGAACATTTTCATCTAAAATATTTACATGCACCGCCACAACTTCTGTTAGGAAATATTAAGCAAACTTATTGGCCCTTAGGTGGAAAAAACCTAGCTAAAGCTACAGTTAACAAATGTATGCGATGCTTCCGGTACAGGGCGAAAACTGTTCAGCCCATTATGGGCCAGCTCCCTGCCTCGTGTACCGAACTAGAGTTTCCCTTTCTTCATTGCAACGTCGACTACGCCGGGCCAGTGTTGATAGCAGACCGTAAGGGCAGAGGTTGTAAACTTATTAAAACTTTTTTGGCAATAATTATTTGCAGTTCGGTAAAGGACTGTCATATTGAGCTCGTTACGGCACTATCCAGCGAAGCATATATAGCCGCTTTAAATCGTTTTGTGTCCCGTCGCGGAAAGCCCAAGAGCATCACGTCAGATAACGGTTCGAATTTTATTGGTGCAAGCAACGAGCTGGCTCAATTTATTCTTCAATCGGAACTTGAAGGTCAAATGGCTCAAGAAGGCATCGAATTTAAATTTGTTCCCGCTTATACCCCTCACTTTAATGGCTTAGCTGAAGCAGCAGTACGCTCTACAAAACACCATCTTAAGCGTTTATTACAAACCACTCATTTAACTTATGAGGAAATGGCTACATGCCTCACTCAAATAGAGGCTGTTTTGAATTCTCGGCCCCTC